AAGACAAAAGGGACAAAGCACAAAAGCAGACTCTCAGGCCAGCATCTGATGGTGCAGGACACAAACATAGCATAGCTTTTCTTTCAGAAGAGAGTCTCTAAGGGACAGAGAGGGGACAAGTGTCCTGCTGCCACCAGGTGGCCACAGCAGGCAAAGCACTTTTGTCAGTGGCTGCTTGATTCAGCTGGAGAAGACAGAATTAGTACTGTCACTTGCTGGCTTCTGAATCCTGATTCTGGGAGAAGCTCTCTCTCCGATCCCTAATTTATTCATCTAATCCTAAAAACTTACCCAATAAGACTATAGAGAGTTAACTAAGATGAGATGCTGTACCTTGTCGGGCCTCTGGCTCGTAAGCACACAGTAGCCATACTTTTTTCTGTCTTCAAACATTACCCACCTGGAAAGCTTGTCTCAGTGCCAATTTCCTTCCAGATTCCCTTCCTGACCTTCTCACTTCCGGGTCTGTTTGCCCTGCTTCCTCTGAATGCTGCTGTCCCTTTCCACGTGGCCCTTCTCTCCATTGCCACACATTTCACCCATATTCCTCCTGAGTTGGAACCCGCAAGGAGATGGCCATTAACATGGTGTCTTAGTGCAGGGGTGATGAGCAAACACACGGCATGGATGACTTCCATGCTAAGAAAGGAACTTTCATGACGTCCTGCTGAGCTGCAGACGAGTCCCTCTGGGTCTGGCATGAAGTCTCAGAGTGACTGCCAATTTGTCACAGATGATTATTTTTGCAAATGTGACAGTACTCATAATTATTGCAGGAAATATTGAGCAGAATGAAAAATACCTGTCATTCTGCTGCCCTGATCTGGATGGGGTGGCAGGCACCTGCAATCCCAGCATTCCATAGCTAAAGCAGGTGGATTGTGAGCTATATAGCGAAACCCTATCTCAACCAAAAGAGTCGTATCATCCAGTAATAATAACTGACAATCCTTAATTCATTTTATTATATGCATCCATGTAAAATTAACATATGCATAGAATTTGGGTTCTGTTATGTTGTAGGTGTATGAGCCAGCACTTTTCACATAACATGGGATGATAATTTTCTCATGACATTAAATATTCAAACTTTTGTTAATTTATTCATGATCACTTATCGTTTGAATATGTCATAATTTAAAAATAGTTTTTTACATTATTGTTTGAGGGTTTGGGGGATAGGGTGCCACAACACACATGTGGAGGTCAGAGAACAATTTGTAAGTCAGTTCTCTCTTTCCACCACGTGGGCTCCAGGGTCATTGGGCTTGGCCTTAGATTACCAGGTTTGGCAGTGAATGTATTTACGTGAGCCATCTCACCAGTTAGAATGTATTGTTTTTTGGTTTGCTGTTGAAGTTTTAGGCTTCCTTTTACCAGTTTTCAAAAAGACATTAATGGGGAACTAGAGAGGTGGCTCAGTGCTTAAGAACACTGACTGCTCTTACAGAGGACCTAGGTTCAGTTTCCAGCACAGTTCCAGGGGATTCAACGCCCTCTTCTGGCCTCCATGGACATTGTAGGACACAGAGGCACTTACATGCATGCAGATAAACACTCATACACATAAAATAAAAATAAAAATTTAAAAGATCGTTAATGATGCTGATGGCAGTATCAGGATAGAGTCCTAGATTTTGAACAATAGGGTCAAAGGAATAAATGAAAAAGATTTTTCTTCTGACAAATGTGATTAAAATATGTTATATACATACATGGAAATATCATAATGAAACCCATTATGTATAATTATTATATACTAATTTTTAAAAGACCAAAGAAACAAAAGATTTTTGATTCCGAATCCCTGTTCAGGAAACTGAAGATCACTGGGTAGTTTCACCAGCTAGTATAGCTCTTTCGTGAATGGCTGTCTCTTTTCCAGGTTCTAAGGAGACAACCCAGTAGAACACTGGAAACAAAAAAGAACAGAAGAGCTGGGCGTGGTGGCACACGCCTTTAATCCCAGCACTTGGGAGGCAGAGGCAGGTGGATCTCTGTGAGTTCAAGGCCAGCCTGGTCTACATAGTGAGTTCCAGGACAGCTGGGGCTACAGGGAGACCCTGTCTCAAAAAGACCAAAAAAAAAAAAAGGAAGAAGAAGAAGAAAGGAAGGAAGGAAAGAAGGAAAGAAGGAAAGGAATCTTTACTACTATAGTGAGTCATGGTCACATGTGGAATATGCCCTATTATCTGTGTTTTTGTGTGTGAAAAAAGTGAAGAGGGACTAGAGTATAGGAGAGAGTTTGAAGCTTACAAGTCCCTGCAGAAGCTGGAATGTGTCCTCCCAGGCCTCCTCTTCACAGAATATGGAAGGCAACTTATCTCAGGGGTTCTTTCTGGAGAGTTTACAGGAAGGTGGGCTGGAAGTTTCCCATATACTCTCTGTTTCTGGGTGAACCTGGGAATCCCTGAAAAAGCTGTTTGAGATGGCCATACTGAGAAACTAGAGCACTTAGGGGTCCAACATGGGGATAGCAGAAGACCAGAGACCACAGTGCAGCAGTGGGATCGATTCATCAGTGTTAGAATGGGCTTCTGATGGACCACAGGGCCTGACATGTGGTCATAAACCTCTCCAGGAGTTGCTCTCACTCAACAACTTCAAAATTCCCTTCCACCCATAGGCGTCATTTCAATCTGCTCCTACCAACTGGTGGGATGGAACTGTATGGACAGCCAGTTCTCCGTGTCACTCAGAGACAATGTCAACACAGTCCTGGCTGAAGGTGTCGACCTTACCATGACCTGTGTGAGTGGACTGCACAGGAATGTGTGCCATGGGAAGATATCTGGCCCGTGCTTTAGAGAACAGTTTATAAAGCCTCCACATTCTAGTATTTTAACCCTGAAACAGCCCTTCAGGCCACCAGGGAAACCACCGTCACTAACTCTTTGCAGGTAGTAAGTAGTCTCAACAGCAACTTGTTCAGAGCCTACCACTAGTGAGTCGCTGAGCCAACAGTTCAATGCAGGAGTTTCATTTAAATTCATATTCAAGGATCTGAGGTCAAGAGATAGCCTGAGCCCGAGCCTTCCCCCACCGATACTGTTTGCCCTTTTAACAGGAAAAGTCAAGTTGCCCGTGAGCTTGAGAACTTGGAGAAATACCTGACAAAAATTTTCATGAAATTACCATTTGATTTGCCACTTGAGTCAGTTTGAACAGTAGAGGAAGGCAGGGTGCCTTCTGAGATTTCTCAATCTGCACTGTACAACCTGTACCATGGGGCCATGTGATCTGATCCAACACAAGGACTCAGAACTAAACAGGAAAAAACAACTAGATGGGTCCCAAGTAGCTGGCCAATGACAAAGCAGTTGGCCATGGCCTGGAGCTCTCAGAATGGGGAGACTTGTCACCTGAGGAACCTCCTCAAGTATATTCAAACCCCTGTTGGTCACAAGCCTCCTCCAGAATTCACAATTACCCAAAGGGAATTATTGGGCAAGACAGAGCCCAGCTCCTCATCCTTTTATCCCCAAAGAAAACAGGCACCTTGGAGTACATCTCACTGGATGGTATAATATGTAGATGGGCACTTGCCCATCGAGGAAGAGTCAGACAGACTCTCAGCTTCAGAACATGCAGGGACTCACCCCTTTCCAATGTCTGGGCCTTCAGCAGGAAATTAATGTGACAGGTTCAGGGGTATGACAACCACTTTTTCTTCCCTGTTTTAGAACTTAGGGCGCACTGTTTAAGCAAGGCCCTGGGCCTAGCCCAGATCTCGATGTCCTTCATTGAATATTCAAGACTGGAGATCTCCAGACTGATGATGCTTTGCTGAACTTGAAGGTGGGCTTCAAGCCAATGCAACTACAGAGCAGCACTAGGCAGGGATCCAGGAGTTAGAAGAGTCCCCTGTAACTGTCTTGGTTGATGGACTGTGTTCTGACCACCAGCACTTACAGCACAAGCACCATTCTAAGTCACAACACTTGCTTTTCAGTGAATTAGGACAAGAGAGTGAAGGCTGGAGCTCGGTGTAAGTAGGAATGTGCTTGGAGGTCCATGCCAGGTTTTTGATCTAAAAGCTGACAAAGTATGCTGATCAATCTAGATACCTCCATTATTCTCATGCTGTACTTATACTTACAGCTCGAGGTCTAGTGCTAAGTAATGTTCCAGGACAAGGTGTCCACCCCATCTGGGTGCAGAGATCATCCCCTCCTAAGGGTCCCAATCATCTCATCTTTGCCCTCTGTTCTCTGATATATCCTCCCTCTCAGACCATAAACTAAACATTAGCTTTTTTCCCTAAACTGAACCCCACACTCTCAAAAAATGCATTCCTATGTGTGTACCTCACCCATAAGCTATGAAGGCAACCTCAGGAAAATAAAATCTGGAAGTCTGTAGTCCTTTTCTTGTTCTCATCAGAGATTAGAGACCATATCTCTTAGAACCTGATATGGGGGTTCCCTCTGCCTCTGTCTTTCATTCAATGGTAGGACTAGGGTGGAGAGCTTCTTTCTCTACTTGCTAGGGGACAGCTCAAGGAGACACACAGAAGGACCTGGCAGACCACTGGCCAATCCGATAGGGAGGAGCACTTCTCATTCTCCCTGCCCGGCCCAGGTCCCTTCTGCAATCCATGTCGGCCCTTTCAGGAGCTTTTAGTGGATATTAGCTCAGACCCATCCCAGTGTTCCTCAACCCTCTACCCCCTCCCTAGCTCTGCCACTGCCCTTTGATAATCTCTACTGTGGGATGTCTTGGCATCCTCCTCCAGCTTCCATCTGACCCTAGCACTTGCCTTTGTCTCCTGGTCCTCCTTCCTCTCTGTCTGCACAATACTTCTCTCCTCCCTTCAAGCTCCTCTTTTCAAGTTCCCTCACAGCTCCTTTCCTGTTGTGCTCTGGGTCTTGGAGACACAGAGACAGAGACAGAGACAGGGAGAGGGAGAGGGAGAAGGAAAAAGAAAGAGAGAGAGAGTTGAAAAGATTGATGACATCCCACCCCCTGTCTTCCCTGCTCCCTCCCCCAGGCAGGCTCAGCTTCTCCACCCAGACAGGAGGCAGAGGCCAGGTCAGAGCAGCTGCTCTCAGACACCATTCCTTTGGCCCTCTGCTGCCTGTGCCAGGCTGGCCCTTTGTTCCTGTTTCCCCAGTGAAAGTGGGCACCTGTGGTGCCTGATCCCCACCTCCTTCTCCATGAAAGCCATGGAAAATCCCAAGGGGCAGGAGCTTCAAACAGTGAGGAGTGGAGCCTGGGACAACCCTGCTTACAGTAGCCCCATTTCCCTGCATAGGACACTGAGGATCTGCACTGTCTCCAGTGTGGCACTCCCCGAGCCTCAACCCAAGAAACCTGAAGACAGGTCCCAAGAGAAGACACAGAGAACCCTGGTGTCCAGCTGCTTCTTCCACATCTGTCACAGCATCAGAGGTACCAGGAGGGAGGAGGGTTCTCCTGGGGTATTAGAGTCAGAAAAGGGGGCCACTATAAGCTTTAAGAGTGGGACAAAAGTACTCTAAAGAAGAAGTAAGGTGTTGGTGGCTCTGATTTACCTGTGTTAGAGTTGCTTCCCCAGGACACAAAGGCCAGGCTCTTTATCTGCCAGAAAGGTCTCTTAACACTGTCATCACTTGGGACCCAGAGGGTGTGGAGGAGATTGGTGCATGGGGGACTGAGATGAGGAGGCTTTAGACTCCCCTGAAACAGATGCACCCCCCCACCGCCCCGCCATGGCTTCCTCTGATCCAGTGCCCTCACCTCATCTCCTTCAGGGGTCTTTGCAAAAAGGCAGGCGGCGGGGGGCGGTGTGGACAGAATAGCTAAGACTGAGGGTTAGAGGATAGGCAAGGAAGGGCTGGGTGGAGATGGGGTGAAGTCCAGGGTCGGGTGGGAGCAGATAACTGGGAAGCTGTGCTGTTGGTGACCCTGGACATCTCCCCAATGCCTTTAGGACTCTGGGGGACAACTCTGACCGAAAACATAGCTGAGAACCGGGAGCTTTATGTCAAGACCACACTGCGGGAGCTTCTAGTGTACATCGTGTTCCTCGTGGACATATGTCTGTGTGAGTAGCCACTGTCCTGTGGGCGTTTTCCTATGACAGATAGGCACATATGTGATGCCTATATGTGGGGCAACATCTGTGGGTAGTAGCCATCTGTGTGAGGCGACTGGGAACTTTGTATGCACCTCAGTATGCAGCCCTTGTGACTTTCAGCTTAAGAGATTTCATTGAGAAAGAATTTGTCACTGAGTTCAGCGGAAGTCCAGTTGGTAGAAAAATTGTTAGTAAAAGGAGTTTCTCTCAAATTACTAGACAACCCAGTTTCCAAGTTCAAGCTCCTAACATTGGAGGAAGCAGCTATGGTTTTGTGCTGGGAAGTTGACATTTTAAACTCCTTGTAAAGAGTGGGAAATCCTCTCTTTTAGTTTGGTGGGTTTGTGTGGTTGGTTATTATGCTACATCTGATCTGTGTATCCTTCAGGGAAGGAAGAAAAAGATTCAGGTCTTAAAGAGTCCCTGAGTTGGGATTCTATGGTGTGGTGGCACTTTGTGGTAGAGCCCACCCCCCACAGGCAGCTGGGGAAGCTTCTGTGAGGCACTAGCCATACTCTGAAACTGGGGAGCTTTGGTGTTCAAGTTCACAGAAGCAACCGGAAAGATCATAGTGTAGACCATGGAAAGATGGAGTTAAAGAACTGTACAAAATGATAAAGTTGGCGCACACAGAGGCTTTTTGGCCCATAAGGGAGGGTTGAAATTCTGTATTCAGTTAAGAATGTTTGCCTCATACAGCTGTGTTCTCTGTGCAGTTGTTTGTATGCATGTTGACCAAAGCTGCAGTTGGCAGCGCCTACCTGCAGCACCCCCCTCAGTAGGTGGCCTCTGTCCACTGCATGCTTACTCTATACTGTTTGTTGTTGTTGTCTTTGTTGTTGCTGTTGCTGTTTTTATTGTTGTTGTTGATATTGAGACAGAGTCTCCCTGCAACCCCAGCTGGCCTGGTCACTATGTAGACCAGGCTGGCCTTGATCTCACAGAGATCCACCTGCTTCTGCCTCCCAAGTACTGGGATTAAAGGTGTGTGCCACCAAGGCCTGGTTATTCTGTGCTTTTTTAGGGAGCATGAATCACTGACAAGTGGATGTAAAGCTCTGATATTGGAGGTGTAGACAGGAAATGTTGTCTCTGTCAGTCACCAATGTTTGCATGAGCCTCTGATGGCTGTGCAGATGCCCTTGTGTTGGGTCTGCACCATGCTGGGCAGAGGGACTCTTATACTTGGAGTACTTGAAGTGCACCCCTCCTACAGCAAGCAGCACAGTATGAGGCAGAGATGATGGGATGAGAGCTGTGGGCCCCACTGTTGGCTTGCTGATTTTCTGCTGTAAGCATCTGTTAGGCAGGAGGGTTCCTACCCTCTTTGTTTTTTTTAATTTTTAATTTTTTAAATAAATAGTTTATTGAGAATTTCATACATGCATATAAGGTGTTTTGATCAAATCCATGCCCACTCCCTCCCCTCTAACTCCTCCCATATCTCCCCATCACTTTTTTCTGATAATTTCATGCACTCTTTCTTCTTCTTTGATTTATTTATTTTTATGGGGTTTTTGGCTAAACTAACATTTCCCCCACCTCTGAAGAGGTAACCCTAAAATCTTTTAAGGATTAGATACAAGTTCCCAAATACTTTCAACATTTTTGACCTTTGGAACAGAGTATGTTCCTAAGAGGCCCAAGAACATTTTGACTTTTAGCCAAGAAACTGGCCACTTTTCTTTGGGGTCTTTTTACCCTAACTGCCTAGCCAATTCCTACCTCCTATTCTTATTACACCATCCTCTGAAGAGGTTACCTATATTGCCAATAGGGAATAGGGACGCAGACTGCTCTGGCTTCTTCCATGGTGAACAGGGACACAGGGTGAGGCAATTGGAGTACCCCTTTAGAGGGTCCATCTAAAAAACTCCCAAGTTGCATTAACTCTTATCTCTAAAGGGAAAAAGAAAGTCCTTGAATCATGAATAGGAGATGTGAAGGAGAAGTAAAGGCAAGAGTAATTAGCATTACAATTTCTAGCCGGAGAACCAGAAAAAAGTCCAAACAGGGCAATTTTCTAATGTTCGTAAGAGTCCATTGTAATTTCTTGACAAGGACTTCCAAAAGCATCCCTCTATTGGGTTCCTCCTTATTTTTCTTTTGTCTTCCAAGGCTGGACTCTAGAGTGATGGATTCAGGGTTTGCTTTCAGGTATTTTGATAGCTGTTGGAGTGATTAGAATCAGTGTCAGTTCCCTCTCAACTTCCAGATAGGGGGAGAAAACAAAATTATCCAGCATTTCAGAACAATAGCTTGTGGCCTCCCTTAACTACAGGTGGGCGCTACAGTATTGGAGACCAAGATTTGAAGTCTTACATCTGAGCAGCACTTTCTGGTTAGGAACAAAATCATCAATGAGAAATAATTGTCTAAATAGCTTTATATAGACTTAAGCCTAATGTCTGAGAAATATAACCCCTTAAACTCTTAAAGAACTATACTGATGACTTTACTCTTTGGTTATGCTTTCCTTTTGGGTGTTTAAGACCATACAGTTGGCCCAAATAAATCAATTTATTTTTACACTTACGGTCATTTGAGGATCTGTTCCTCAGGGGTCACATGGGCTTGGGAGGAGCTCCTGGCTCCTTTCTTTTACCAGTTCCATCTATGTGAAGATATGTCAAAAGTCCTGCTCGACCATGTCTGGCTTCCCTTGGAAGCATGAATGAGATATTTTCTCTGAGTTGACCCTCCTCTTTGTAGACTGGACACTGGTTCAAGTCCATCTTGTGGGAGCTCCATGTCCTCCCTGAACAAGAGGACAGGTGACTCACCACAGTTACAGGACATTTTGAAAGATGTCCCATAGTCCCCTGGAACTTAGTCGACCTTGGAGCACAAGGGGCAAAAATTGTCCTTTAAGTCCCTCTGACCACATTAGTATAGGCCTCAAACTATGGCTGTTAAACACCCAATAAGGTTAGTTCCACCAGTCTGGTACTTTTAATTATCATGTGCTATGTAGATAAGGCTTGGGTAAAAAACCAAATACTCTCAGATAAACCTTGACTAGATACATATTTTGTTCCTTAAATTAGTTGACTAAACTATGACCATAGACATTTTAAGATTATGTGTATATTATTTTTGTCTCATCCTTTATATATCATAACAAACCTAAACAGACCTTCATCACTTGCTTAGGCTTTCTCATTTTTTCTATTTTGGAAAATATCTCCATTTCCCATATCCTTTTACCATCTCTTACATTCTCATTTTCTTTTTTTTTAAATAATCGTGAGACATAATAGCATTAACAAATAAATTTTCCGTCTGTTGTGACACTTCTTTTTCCTGGGGATGCTAAGTGCTTATTCCTTTTTAAGGTTCTAGTGTTGAGCCAATGTTTGATTAAGTTTTACTGGGGAACCAATGAATTTATTGAGCTTACTTACTGAGATAACTGAGGGGTTGCTGAGGTGTTATGACTTGAGGGTATGCACACTGGAAAGCCTTAACCCAACGTGGGTCATGCCTTCTCTTCCTAGCCTTCCCCAGATTGTATACTTTAGCCCTCCCCAAATCCAGAAGGCCATGTGTGATTAGGGTCAAATTACATATGGTTGACTGGGAAGAGTGGCTGGATACTCCAGTGAGGGTCCAAAGACCCTGCTTGGCTCTCCTTTAATGAATGAGCACAACCGTCAACAAGCCCAACTGTGACGATGTTTAGCTATCAGGCTCAGCTGAAGTCGTGATGATGGTAGCTATTTTGTGCAGAAGAGACTGCTGTATAGGATCATCTTATTAAAAGGACCTGGAATTTAAAAGGATTTGGTGCTAGGATCCACAGATGAGGGAGAACAGGCTCCCCCCGTCTTTATACTCTATGATACCAGCCAGGCCCACAAATAAAGCCTTTCTCTGCAAATAACTCAATCATCCGGCTTTGGAGCAGGGTTGGGAGGTTTCCAGCTTTCTAGAGTTACAGTGAACCATCTTAGACTCCTGTGTCCAAGATGGATGGGCTGGAATGGTGGAAACTTGAGCCTTGTCTGCCCATGATCTCTGTTTCCTGTGAATTCACTGCCCTGATTAAGACCAATGGTCTGCAACCAGCTTGAGTCTGTATCCTGGGCTGAACTCATTTGCTATTGGAGCATACCAGAGGATGTTTCAAAGATACAAAAGATTCAGAATCCCTTCATTATGATCCTTCCAATAGGTTCTGTCTGATGTCCCATCAGCCCCACCTTAGGGAGTGTCCATGAAGATCTCACTGTCTCATGGGAAGCCAGTTCTACTGTGGACATTTCTACTTTATTTGGTTTATGGAGCCCCTTCTCTGTGCCAGACATTGTGTTGAGGGTATATGCATGCTTTTCTCCTCCAGGAGCTTACCTTCTCCTTCCTAGAACTTTCTTAAGTTGACTGTATACTTCTCTGCTGGTCTCCAAAGTAATAGTCTTAAGTGTTAGAATGAATGTAGTGATTATGTTTCTTCTTGATCAGCCTGTTCTCCAAGCTTGGTAACTTCTTTTTCTCATGAAAAGTCATTGTCACATGGTGACCAACGGTGTTTTTTTGCAGAAATTGAGGGTCTGGACTCTGAATTTGCAGAGATTTAGATCAAACACCACACTATGCCATCTACAATTTGAGAGACCTTTGAATAAATTGCTTAATTTCTTTGCGTCTGAATTTCCTCCTCTATAATCACCTGATCCAACAGGATTATGTGCTCATCATGTGGGTTCAGAGTTGTTCATCACGCAGCTGCTTGTCTCAGTCCTGATTAATTTGATGCCCTTTACTACTGGAAGATATACCTCACGGGGCCACCTGACTAGTGTCCTGTGACGTCATTACTCCTGCTGTATTCATTTGGGGGAATCTACAAGGACATACACAGGAAGTGATATCTGAGTAGAGACCAGAGAGATGATCAGAATTGCAGTTCCCTGAAAGGGAGGTAAAGAGAAGGGAAAGAGGGGACAGCATTTGCCAAAGTTTCTGGA